TGTTCTATAGAAGTCAGAAAGTAAAAGAAAATACAAGCTCAGAAAGAACTTGTGCTTGAGTATGTTATTTTCACATGTGTTGGTACTCTATCTGTAAATAAAAACAGTCAATGCCAGGAAACAGTCGCGAATGTCTGTCGAAACCAATAAATTATTACACTGGGCGTGAAATGAACTTGCTCCTATCAAACTTCAACAGCTGGTTGTTGATGCCGTATCATGTATACTCAACAACAAAAGTTCCTGTGACTTTATGCAATCCTCATGCATTTCACTACCCAAGAATGGGTATAAAAACATGTGCGTTGACGGGATTCCATATGCATTGTTTAGCATCGTGCTGACAACAACCACTCAGAAAAACAACAAAATTACGCAATTATTCAACATTACGAAATGCCACGCCTGTCCGAAATGAGCGTCTGCGAGCCATTGGTATGCAGGATCGAGTCAACGTGATGTTGCAAGACGTCCACAGAAACACCATTTGGTGTTTATGGCAACGTTGGCAACAGACGAATGCAGTCAGAGACCATCCTCGGAGTGGCAGGCCACGCGTAACCAATTATCGACAAGACAACTGGATTCGAACAACACACTTACGAAATCGATTCCAGCCAGCAACAGCGACTGCAAGAAGCATCCCTGGCCTTCGACGAATTTCTTCACAAACTGTACGTCGTCGCCTCAGATGTGCCGGGATTGTCGTCAGAAGACCCACCAGACGTCCCATTTTGACAAGAACCCACCGTCAAGCACGTCTACAGTGTTGCAGACAGCGTCTACGCTGGACGACCATACAGTGGGGATAAGTTCTATTCACTGACGAGTCTCGTTTTCACCTCAGCCACAGCGATGGACAGATTCGAGTGTACCGACGTCGAGGTGAACGTTACGTCAATCATTGTGTCATGGTAGAGGATCGGTTCGGGGTGGCAGCGTTATGGTATGGGGTGGGATTACAGCAAGACAGAGGACCCGTTTGATAGTCGTAGAGTGAAATCTCAATGTACAACGCTACCACGACGAGACTATTGATTTGTTTGTTTGTTGGTTGGTTGGCACACTCAGCAATATGCCAGGTATATGACGGCGGTCTGTAAATAATCCAGTCTGGACCAGACAATCCAATGATTGACATCATGAGCATCACACAATTGGGATACGGTGGCATGCATCAACCAAGTCAGCGAGCCTGACCACCCGACCCCGTTAGTTGCCTCTTACAACAAGCATAGTCGCCTTTTACGGCAAGCATGGGTTGTTGAAGACCTATTCTACCCGGATCTTCACGGGGGAGGCAAGCATGGGTTGTTGAAGATCTATTCTATCTCGGATCTTCACGGGGGAGGCAAGCATGGGTTGTTGAAGACTTATTCTATCCCGGGTCTTCACGGGGGAGGCAAGCATGGGTTATTGAAGACCTTTTCTATCCGGATCTTCACGGGGGAGGCAAGCATGGGTTGTTGAAGACCTATTCTATCCCGGATCTTCACGGGGGAGGCAAGCATGGGTTGTTGAAGATCTATTCTATCCCGGATCTTCACGGGGGAGGCAAGCATGGGTTTTTGAAGACCTATTCTATCCCGGATCTTCACGGGGGAGGGAAGCATGGGTTGTTGAAGACCTATTCTATCCCGGATCTTCACGGGGGAGGCAAGCATCGGTTGTTGAAGATCTATTCTATCCCGGATCTTCACGGGGGAGGCAAGCATGGGTAGTTGAAGACCTATTCTATCCCGGATCTTCACGGGGGAGGCAAGCATGGGTTTTTGAAGACCTATTCTATCCCGGATCTTCACGGGGGAGGGAAGCATGGGTTGTTGAAGACCTATTCTATCCCGGATCTTCACGGGGGAGGCAAGCATCGGTTGTTGAAGATCTATTCTATCCCGGATCTTCACGGGGGAGGCAAGCATGGGTTGTTGAAGACCTATTCTATCCCGGATCTTCACGGGGGAGGGAAGCATGGGTTGTTGAAGACCTATTCTATCCCGGATCTTCACGGGAGAGGCAAGCATCGGTTGTTGAAGACCTATTCTATCCCGGATCTTCACGGGGGAGGCAAGCATGGGTTGTTGAAGACCTATTCTATCCCGAATCTTCACGGGGGAGGCACGCATGGGTTGCTGAAGACCTATTCTACCCCGGATCTTCACGGGGGAGGCAAGCATGGGTTGTTGAAGATTTATTCTATCCCGGATCTTCACGGGTACACTCACTATTGAGGAAAGATCAGGGAAGGAACATTGATGGTAGCAGCCTTTAAACGAAGGAGGCGTCAATTTGTCCCTGGTTACTATGCAATTGCTTGATACAAATTACGATCGGTTGACATGTTTATTTTTGTTGAAAACATATCCCCCAAGTCACTTGCCTTGGGATAGGCTACACACAACCTGCGGTTCAGCGTGGAGCAGGACCGAAGCTCTTGATACTCTAAATTAGGGAGGCAGGTTTGTCGAGCGCGGCGAGTCGTCCAACTGCTCTACTGAATTTTTACCTATGGGACCACACGATAACATTTTTTTTAAATACCATAAATTAGGTCCAACATATAGTATTCCGTGTGAGAAGCACCCACCACGTCTCACAATACATTGGGTGGTTGGTTGGTTTGTTGTTTAACACCGCACTCAGCAATATTCCATCTATATGACGGCGGTCTGTAAATAATCCAGTCTGGACCAGGCAATCCAGTGATTAATATCATGAGCATCACACAATTGGGATACGATGGCATGCATCAACCAAGTCAGCGAGCCTGACCACCCGATCCCGTTAGTCGCCTTTTACGACAAGCATAGTCGCTTTTTACGGCAATCATAGGTTGCTGAAGACCTATTCTACCCCGGATCTTCACGGGTCCTGACAATACATGCACTATTCACAAGCATTTCCTGAATTGTAAATTCTACATATGTATGCCAAAGTTTCCTTTCGTCAGTGACTATGCACTATTAACAGGAACAAGGAAATATATTGATAACAGCCACTTCCTTGTGGAACACTTGCCTAAATCATTTATAGATCATCAGATGATCATCAGTGAGCAGTGAGTCACTCATTGAAAGTTGTACGACACAAAATACCATTCCATCTTTTTAACGTCGGCCTGTAAATAATCGATTCTTGATCAGACAAACCAGTGACTGATATCATGAGCAACATCCCGCGCCTCCATGTACCATGACAAGCAAGTGACTGAGTCTGGGTAAGCAGAAGTTACTTGGGATCAGGGATTCTAACCAGGAATCGCGATATGTTCAGTGAATACATTGCCAGCATTTGGATATGTTACATGATCGTTGTTTAGAAATCACATCTCACGTCCCAAATTCTGCTGGGTTAACAATATGAATTATATCTGATTGGCCTGAATGAGTGAGTTTATGGGTTGGGTTTAGCGCCACTTCGAGTTTTTCAGTTTGAGTTTATTTTGTTGGGATAGATCGAAGTGGCGCAGGCCATGGACGTTTGCCTTACCCACGAACACAGGCATGATACTGATATATTAATGAGGGCGAATCGCGGATTCGAACCAACGATCGCAGCATGAATGAGGGACGTAACTATCCACTGACAATTTATTGCAGTCTTGGACCACTTGACCACCCGTTCCCCCTAATTATTCATAAGCCTTCTCAATATAAGAACACATTAAAGTATAATAATGAAATATGAAAGTTTATTTTCCTTACCACAATCGTGGTCTTGTGGTAGAGCGTCCGCCCGGAGAGCGGAAGGTCAGAGGTTCGATCCCCGGCTGCGTCATACCAAAAGACGTTAAAAGATGGTACTTGTTGTTACCCTGTCTGGCGCTCGGCATTAAGGGTCTAAAACAAGGGTTGGTCGGCTCAAAGTCAGCATTCTTTGTCTGAGTGGGGTATTCATGTTAAACTGCGGCATGGTATCTCAGTGGGCTAGCACTAAAAATCGGCATCAGCCGGACTAGTACAAGCAGCCACACACACACACACACACACACACACACACACACACACACACACACACACACACACACACACACACACACACACACACACACACACACACACACATATGCACGTCGCTAAATAAGTGCAATAATCTTGGACGCGACGTTAAACCCAATTTCACTTCACCTCCTTACCACAAACATGTCATCTTATAACTGTAGCGCTGATATACAATGCTGTCATGTTCGTCAATCGATTGCATGACTATTTTGAGGAAAAGCTGTCGATTACTAAAGGAAGTACTCGATGTCAACTGAGGCGATTTATACCCTGAACTAGCAGAGAATGACTTGCACACGGCATTTCACTGCGAGACATAGCAAAACCAAAGCTAGTTTGTCTTTTGTTCAGATTTCCAAAAAGGTGATCAGTAAATAAAACTCAGTTGCTTTCTCTTTCAATTCAACACGGCTTGGGTGCCACAACTGTTTATTTCAAAAATGTCAGATTTGTTTGTTTCACGTGTCCTGTGCCGTGATAAACCTGCAAAATTGCTTATAAACATCTGGATTTTTCACATTTTATGAATAACTGGAAAATGTTCCACGCCTTGTCCTTTAAGTGCTGATCAGTGCAGACTGGATTGTTAACAGGCCACCTTCTAAAGGCCGGAATATTACTTGAATAGTGAGGCGTTAACTTACATAAACAAAGTATGTCATAATCTTATTTGTAACCAGTCAGTTATGGACATGGAATGTAAACGAATGACCTTGTATATACAATATTCGTATATTTAAATAAAACTTGACTGTCATTTTTTTCAGGTATGTTTTATTCTATTTATTTTAACAACTGTTTCTACAATTAATCTTTCTTTGTTTTTCCTTCATTACACAAAATGACATGAAACACGCATCACCTGTTTTCGAAACCTATACACGGAAGTATTATTGAGCAAGTCATTGACTTCAGTGACGGAGGCGGAACACAATGCGACAATATTTCAGTCTGACTGGAAGTAATTAATAAATGAGTTCCGTACATATAATCAGTCTGAAAGAGCAGTACACTACATACATGCCATGCAGAAAACGTATGCTACAGTTGTGGGTCTAAACTATTCAGCAACTGTGGAAGGTTATAATGTGAGTCGATTTCAGATTTTTTTCTACGCCACTGTTTTTAACATTACCGGCTTTTAATTCGTCTTTTCCCTACATTTAAATGGGTGATATACATCTGAATACGTGACCACAGTTTATTACAGTCTAAATATGTTCATGGATGAGATACATGTATATGAGTGACCACAGTTTATTACAGTCTCGATATGTTCTTGGGTGAGATACATGTATATGAGTGATCACAGTTTATAACAGTCTAGATATGTTCTTGGTTGAGATATATGTATGAGTGACCACAGTTTATTGTAGTCTCGGTATATTCATGTGTGATATACAGGTTGTGAGTGATCACAGTTTGTTTCAGTCTTGATATGTTCTTGGGCGAGATACATGTGAATGCGTGACCACAGTTTATTACAGTCTCGATATGTTCTTGGGTGAGATACATGTATATGAGTGATCACAGTTTATAACAGTCTAGATATGTTCTTGGGTGAGATACATGTTTATGAGTGATCACAGTTTATAACAGTCTAGATATGTTCTTGGTTGAGATATATGTATATGAGTGACCACAGTTTATTACAGTCTAGATATGTTCTTGGGAAAGGTACATGTATATGAGTGATCACAGTTTATTACAGTCTCGATATGTTCTTGGGTGAGATACATATATATGAGTGATCACAGTTTATAACAGTCTAGATATGTTCTTGGGTGAGATATATATATATATATATATATATATATATATATATGAGTGACCACAGTTTATTACAGTCTATATATGTTCTTGGTTGAGATATATGTATATGAGTGACCACAGTTTATTACAGTCTAGATATGTTCTTGGGAAAGGTACATGTATATGAGTGATCACAGTTTATAACAGTCTCGATATGTTTTTGGGTGAGATACATGTTTAAGAGTGATCACAGTTTCTAACAGTCTCGATATGTCTTTGTTGAGATATATGTATATGAGTGACCACAGTTTATTACAGTCTATATATGTTCTTGGGTGAGATACATGTTTAAGAGTGATCACAGTTTGTAACAGTCTAGATATGTTCTTGGTTGAGATATATGTATATGAGTGACCACAGTTTATTACAGTCTAGATATGTTCTTGGGTGAGATACATATATATGAGTGACCACAGTTTATTACAGTCTAGATATGTTCTTTGGTGAGATATATATATATGTATATGAGTGACCACAGTTTATTACAGTCTATATATGTTCTTGGGTGAGATACATGTATATGAGTGATCACAGTTTATTACAGTCTTGATATGTTCATGGGTGAGATACATGTATGTGAGTGATCACAGTTTATAACAGTCTAGATATGTTCTTGGTTGAGATACATGTGTGTGAGTGATCACAGTTTATTACAGTCTCGATATGTTCTTGGGTGAGATACATGTATATGAGTGATCACAGTTTATTACAGTCTTGATGTGTTCATGGGTGAGATACATGTATGTGAGTGATCACAGTTTATAACAGTCTAGATATCTTCTTTGGTGAGATATATATATATATGAGTGACCACAGTTTATTACAGTCTAGATATGTTCTTGGGTGAGATACATATATATGAGTGACCACAGTTTATTACAGTCTATATATGTTCTTGGGTGAGATACATGTATATGAGTGATCACAGTTTATTACAGTCTTGATATGTTCATGGGTGAGATACATGTATGTGAGTGATCACAGTTTATAACAGTCTATATATGTTCTTGGTTGAGATACATGTGTGTGAGTGATCACAGTTTATTACAGTCTAGATATGTTCATGGGTGAGATACATGTATATGAGTAACCACAGTTTATTACAGTTTTGATATGTTCACGGGTGAGATACATATGTATGAGTGACCACAGTTTATTGTAGTCTCGATATATTCATGTGTGATATACTGGTTGTGAGTGATCACAGTTTGTTACAGTCTAGATATGTTCTTGGTTGAGATACATGTGTGTGAGTGATCACAGTTTATTACAGTCTAGATATGTTCATGGGTGAGATACATGTATATGAGTAACCACAGTTTATTACAGTTTTGATATGTTCACGGGTGAGATACATATGTATGAGTGACCACAGTTTATTGTAGTCTCGGTTTATTCATGTGTGATATACAGGTTGTGAGTGATCACAGTTTGTTACAGTATTGATATGTTCTTGGGCGAGATACATGTGTATGCGTGACCACAGTTTATTACAGTCTAGATATGTTCTTGGGTGTGATACATGTTTTGAGTGATCACAGTTTATTACAGTCTCGACATGTTCTTGGGTGAGATACATGTATATGAGTGACCACAGTTTATTACAGTCTAGGTATTGTCAATGGTGAGATTATTGTACATGAGTGACCACATTGTAATATAGTCTACATATGTTTGTTGGATTTTCATTAATTATTTTGGTTCATTTTATATTTTGCGGGCTTTATTTAAGTTATAAGGGAAGTATCTCTTTTTTGTAAGTATCGCAATGTGCAAGAGGCTGTGCTGTGAGCCAGGGACTAAGAAATAGAATATACTCGATGAAGCTTAAGAGTGATTTGGCGTCCTCAATCTTCGAAACCCACATAAATTGACGTTTTACCCGAGCGTTCGCTGGCGAAGTGGTTATCTACAGAAGGACCTCGCCACGCCAGCCATCAGTAGACAACGTGGTACAGTCTGACCAAACTACATTGTTGTATTGTGAGGTGAGGTGAAATGGGGTTTAACGTCGCGTCCTAGATTATTGCACTTATATAGCGACGTGCATGTACGTGTGTGTGCTGCTTGTACTCGTCCGAACTGATGCTCATTTTATAGTGCTAGCCCACTGGGTTACCATGCCGAATATTAACATGAATACATCACTCAGACGCAGCATACTGACTCCGAGTCGGTGTAGATAGGCATATAAGGTAAAGATGATTATCGTTGACATGGGAAATTTATTTTATTATAATTGTCTAAGAGTTGATTTAAGTCGCGTTAGCTTCATGTGGGAGGAAAGGCCGAAGTGATTCAGGTCTTAGACGTTTATTTACCACTTTGGTGTAACCCATGGGTATGTAGCTCACAAACCTAGAAACATTATCAGGGGGAACCGGGATTCGAACTCACTCTTATAGGTTTCTGACGTGCTCAGGGGGCGCATCTCTACACGGCGAAATACGGTGCCTTAGAAGTGGGCATCCCGTGAGCCCAACTGGTCCAGAATGTATTTCATTTGATAGTTTGACCATGTACATGTGAGCAGCCAATGATATTGGATGATTGCCTACGTAACAGGTGTCACAGATAGATATGATTGATCATGGGCAATGTGGATAATTGGGGTATATAAATCTGCGAATTATCATTTTCAGCCATGACGTTTTAAAGTTAGTCTATTAGGATTGGAATACACTGTTCTGATTTTCCGGGTTTTTTCCAATGATGAATCTAAAAACCAAAAAATACCGATCCTTGTATAACTATCAAATGACGCACATATGTATTGAATGTTTTATTCGTGGAGGATTGGGGAATTTATTTGTATATAAGATGAAATACAGAATCTAAAATTATATATGAGAACAAAGTTATAGCATGAGAATATTTCAAGTATCTTTACCAAGAAACGACAATTAAAATATAGAAGCATTGATATATGTGATTTGATAATTAAATTTGTACATGCCACTAAAATATAAACATTAAAAGAAAACAAGAACTGATAAAAATTCAAACATTAAAATCTTTTATTAAAAAGATGTTCTTTGTAGGACTATAATAAGAAATGGGTGATGTGTTCAAAAAAAGAAAAAATAACATATTGTTGTAATTACTTTGTTGAACTCTCACAAATTCAGAATTGTCATTTAATGTTTCAAATTAGACAATCAGGATTAGGATTTTTTCTTTTCATTTTTCGAATAATTCATCTAAAAAATAAAATCCACCGATCCCAGAATAACTGACAAATAATGGACGTCCTATGTCGTAGTGAATGTAGATGACATTAAAATAGTTGTCTTGAAGTCATTGCCTCTCCTTTTCTTCTTTTACAGTCATTATGGCAGTGGTGATCGGAATTCTCATAATCGTTGCAGTAAGGATCTCCAAAGTCAACACACACGTCTGTACTTTCCATGACCAAAATGGCGAGTTTGTTGACTGTAGAGGGAGACAACTCCTGCAAGTTCCTGACGACCTCCCACGGAATATTACCTCTCTTGACATCAGTGACAATCAGATAACAGTTCTGAGAAATATGACATTTCAAAACTTAAACTGTCTTACGCACATAAACCTGAACAATAACTTACTTATCACTATGGAGCCTGATGCCTTGGTGGGGGTATTCAGTCTGACCACTCTGCTTCTTGCTAGTAACAAACTCTCACAGCACAACTCCTTACCAGAAGGACTTTTCCGAGACCTTGGGAATTTGCATACACTCAATCTTGAGAATAATAACATGAAAGCATATCCAGATTTGGTGTTAGCTCCCCTCACCAAGCTCCACAGCCTGTACATTGACCCCGTTCCAGATGCTGTCTTTGGGTCTGGATTCTCAAAACTGACAAATCTCAAAGTTCTCAAGATGGATGGTGGTCATTGTTCATTAGAAAAATTAACAAATGAAACGTTTCAAAGTTTAAATGAAACTAAACTTGAGGTACTCCTTCTAAATCATTGTCACCATTTAACGTTGTGTGAGAGTGGTGTTCTTGAACCGTTGCCCTTCCTCAAACATCTGGAACTAACCAACAATGCCATCGGTATCCAAAAGGTTTTACATCTTCTTTATCCTCTTGTTGGAAGGAACATGACTAGAATATGGTTGAACAACACATTTAAAACCCCGGCTCGCTTCAAGGAAGATGTAGATGACCGTATCCTAACAGAACACAGCACACGCTTTTTGACTCAGATATGTGTTTCAGAGTTGTCCTTGAAAGGTAACCGGATATGTTTAATTGAAACAGGTTCTTTCAACAAGTCACCCATCCGTGAATGTTTGGAAGTGTTTGATCTCTCAGACAACCGTCTCATTGGAGATGCACGTTTTGCGTTATTCGTTGCGGTGTTCTCACAAATGAGATACCTGGACTTAAGTCATCAACATCATACATATGATGGAACTATAAGCAGATGGGAAGGAGCAGAAGGGAGGAAAAAGGGAAACCTCACACTGATGCTACCCCCCAAACTCCATTATTTTGATGCAACAGAAACATTTATGTTGTCAGATACGTATGATGAAATCACGTTTACAAATACCGAAAATCTTGACACATTGCTTTTTGGATACAACCAACAACATGATCGTGCTCGTGTGAAAGGGTTGGAAAATGTAAGTCACGTTGACTTATCTGGAAACAAACTTGGCAATGTTACTGAAGACTTTTTTATGTCATTTTCAAACGTCAAAACGTTATCTTTGAAAGAGTGCAACTTACAATTTGCCAATGATGTGGTAAGAGCTCGAAATATATTTGGTGCTCTTAAATTAGTGGTATATTTGGATCTTTCGTTAAATGGCCTACAAGTCTTCCCATTCATCCTAAATCAAAATAGAATCAAATATCTTCATCTTTCGCAAAACAAATTTGATACCATTCCCATTGTGACAACTACTTTTCCAAGTCTTACGCTTCTGAACATGTCACATAATATGATAGGACATTTGGATAAGTATACACAATCTGACTTGGATTCCTCAGCCGAAAGAAACCGTCTAAAAGTTATAGTTACAGGCAACACATTTTCTTGTGGCTGTGAAAATCTGGACTTCATCCTGTGGTTGATGGACTCACCAGTAATTTATGAGTCTGATAGGAATTTCCCTTGTATTCAGGACAATGGACAAATGACAAGAACTGTTGAGGTTGTCAGGAATTACATCAGTATCCACCGTCACTGTACTGGTATATGGATGTTCACTCTCACAGTCCCATGTTTGACTGTCTTCCTGACGTCTATTGTAACCGTATACCTTATCTCCAAGAACCCAACAAGATTCAAAAACATACTCATGGGAACACTTGGGTTTGGCGTCCAGTATCTAACTCGAAAAGACTTTTCCTTCGCACTCTACATCGGATATTGTGAAGCTGACATTCCTTTTGTTTATCGGAAACTTCGGCCTGCATTAGAGCTTTGTAATCACCCTGTGCGTCTCTTCTTAAAAGATCGTGAAGTACTTCCGGGTCATGACATTGCTGACGGAATTATAGAAGGTATTAACAAAAGTTGGAAGACTGTTCTTGTTGTATCACATGATTTCCTTGAAGACCCCTCTGCCTGGTCACATTTCACCATCAATGCAGCAATATACTCCATGACTGTCCTCATTCCTAACCGGATATTGATCCTACTGGTGGGTGACATCCAAGCAGAGGACCTTCCTCAGTGTCTGTTAAACATGGTTGAGGAGGAATTTATAATACACGTGGACGAATACCCTGAGGATCAGACAGCGTTGTGGAAACATCTGAAACAGATTGCAAATTTGAAAGAATAATGGTTTTTATAGTTGATATGATATGATGTTATAAATTCTAGGTGGTTTATGCAACAGTTAAAGCTTCGTCTTTCCGACAATCTAAGGCAACTATAGTATGGATCCAGTGACAGTATATCTCATTCTTATGGTCATATAAGCTTTAAGGCAGTTATACATGTAGACAAGATCTTTCTTTACCAATAAATATTTCTATAAAATCTTTATTTGTTAGATTGATTATTTGTAACTTTGGTTTACATAGAGACATTAGAGAAGAAATGTTTAATGAAGATGAAATAAAAACAAAATTGTAAATTATATAGACATACTTTTAGTAGTCCTTGTGTACAAAATTTAGAAAACACTATATCAAAATGTCATTCGCAACAAAAAGAGAAAATGTCCAAACAAATCTATGCTATTTTGTGACATATGTAAATAGACTCAGAGTTAGGTGAGGTGAAATGGGATTTAACGTTGTGTTCAAGATTAATGCACTTAAACCGAGTCAGAAACTGTGAAACCCTGTGTTGTAAAACTTGATATTTCTATTTGCGCTTCAACATTTTGGGGTAATGTAATATGTAGTGTTTGCTGGTGGACTTTATACTGAAATAAACCTGTCTGTCTGTCTCTCTGTCAGAAGAGTTAAAAGAAACAATGATACAATGTGTTACCTTATACTGATTATGATCTCTGGGGTATTTTCTACAGTACCTAACATCCAGGAATCGTATCTTGTATTCGTTTGCAGTTGTTGTGGAGGCATGTTATGAACCCGTGCCTGGATTAATTCTGAAGTGGATGTATTAAGGTATTTTCTGTCTGCTGTAACATTCCAGAACCATCTCTTGTATTCATCTGCAGGTGTTAAGGAGGCCTTTTATGAACCACTGCCAGGGATTCGTTCTGAAGTAAATGCACCGTAACTGTATGGTATGTCTGACACATTCCATCCCTTGGTTTCAGTGTTAAATCACGTGCACTCTCAATGTGGTCTTTTTCTCCTGACTCGTGAGATCCGGGTTAGAACAGGTCATCAGCAACCCATACTTGCCTTAATAGGCGACTATGCTTGTCGTAGAAGGCGACTAACGGGATCGGGTGGTCAGGCTCGCCGACGTGGTTGAAGCATGTCATCGTATCCCAATAGCTTGGATATATGCTCATGATATTAATCACTAGATTGTCTGGCCCAGACTCGATTATTGACAGACCGCCGTCATATAGGTGGAATATTACTGAGTGTGGCGTTAAACAACAAACAAACAAACAAACAAACACTGTGTTATTTTGATGTAAAGAAGGTGAAGCAGTCGTATAATATACGCTTTCGCCATTCAAAACACGAAATATTGGCTTAAATACCTTTTGCAGTAACTATTTCCTTTTATGAGTCATACTTTCAACAAATAAGGAATCATGTCGTGATAAAACATGTGCTTTTGTTGACTCACTTCGACAAATACTTTATGCATGGTTGCTGAGAGGTTATGAGTGGTGTAATCAACTACGAATGCAGGAACTGTCAATGTCATACCATCTCAACAAATATGAGTTAGCAAATATATATTCACCTTCCGAAACAATCCTCTTGGGTGCTCAACAGTACCATCGTTACGTGTTGTAATCTATATGATGCGATCCCATGGTCGAGAATGGATAAGGGAGATCTTCCCAAAAGAATAAAAGGTTATCAGCTCAATTCGAAGATGCATTTACACGTTGCTTGTAAGCAATATTTTTTAGTTGTAAACCTTATAACGCATGAGCTGAAATGCATATATGATAGGATTTGCGATACTCTTCAAGCTCTGATTCGCAATTAGGTAATGTAAACAGTGATACCGCCGTCCAGAGTGTTGCTCGCATAGATGTGTGTTTACCTCTCGACAAACACAATCACCGGGGAAGATGTACGTGACTGACGTACTGATACCACGGTATGAAATATGACAAACATGCCAGTGTACTACATTGGGTTGACGTGTAGGCCCTGTAGTCCATAGGCTTAGCAAAAAACTGTGTACGTTTTGGCACTCAGTCAGTATATATTTATATAATGATTTTAATGTCACAACGTCATAAATCAGATGGAAGAAGAGCTTTTTTATAGCTCTCTAGAGGTAAGTTTAGTTTTAAGATCGCGTAATTAGGTAGAAATGAATCGTTTGTTGGACATTTTGTGTCATAATTTGTTTTGTTTTTAATGTAAATAAACATACCTATTTTCCCTAAGACCATATTATCACTTTAGAATCTGGATTATTTTGCGTTGCAAAATACGCACTGACACTTGTCAACGACAATATGAAAGCTTGCACGCCAGCCTCTAATTGACGCTGGGTCATATGCTCCATTTAGGAATAACGTTTTTGATCCAAGAAAGTTGTCTACTTTTGATGAAAGCACCAGACACTACCAGAGACCAAACATCAGTATAACGTTCCCATTTCTGTTAGAAAACAGTGATAGTTTTCAATCTGAACGATTCAGTATCAAAAAAATGTAATAGATTATTTGGTAACTGAGGTCACAAAGAAACGTTCCAAATGTATCTATCGTCTGCACTTCCGGTCCCTACGGACAAATCACCAGGCATTCTGATGTCTTCATCGTCATTAATTCTGAGAAAGGAGCATTCTTCATCTACATTTATTCCTCACCTAGACTGTATAGACAATAACGTACACACACAGACACTTATTTTTGGGGACGAATTGTAAACAATGTAAACAGTAAGTTAACCAGTAAGAATAACCAAATATCAAGAAGCCCTGACAGTGACTGATATTGTGCAATGTCAATGGTTTGTCTGTCAAGCGGCGCCCCTGCAATTCTTCAGTTCCATATACCATGCAGGAGTGTGTTGCAACTCCGTGCTGTCTTTCTCCCACATGATGTGAACAAATGTTTGTCAAATAGCTTTCTGATTGATTGGCTTTCAACAGGTTGAGGCCTTCTACTAATGTATCACTATTTAGGAACAAAATGACAAATATCTTCTTTTTTAAATTAAAGCTATGGATATTAAATTAACATAACGCTTCACACATTGTATCCATGTGGGGAATCGAACCTGGGTCTTCAGAGTGACGAGCCAACGCGTTAACCACCAGGCTATCCCACCGCCCCTCGGGCGTGGTCTGAGAAAATGGTGAAATTACTGACAATATAAGTTGGCAACATTTCAAACATGTCAGAAGTACGTATTAAATATTGAATTTCTAAAAAATGGTTAATAACACTTAATCCAAACGGACAATTAAATGTGAAGTCATTAGCCATTAAATGTTTATGTCAACCATTTGAAATCCGAGTCCTTTAGTTTTGCACAATAACAGTCTCTTCCCACACTAATTATGAACAGCATCTGGATTAACACCTACTGGTAGTTGAGTGTCTGCATTATATGATGTCACAGTGCCAAGATGATCTGCCACTGAGCAATGTAATCTGTCATTGATAATGTCGTCATGATTGGATTTATTCATTGGTAGAAATACTTTACCGAGATAATTATACATAGCAGCTGATTTCCTAATTCATAAAACATGTCACAATAACAATATTTGTAGTATGAAGAGTTTTGTGTCTAGTTTGACGTCCGCGCCGAGTCTATTCTGACAAGTCGAGTCACAGCTTGTACAATGCTTTGGTGTCCCCGATGTAAGATTAAAGACCGGGGTCGCTGTCCTGCCGAGAAGACAGAAGCTGGTTACGTAACAGGTGTTTTGAGCTGATGTTAGTGAAACCATGTTTGATACACTCTGTGTATTTAGATCGGATCCGTTGTATCTTAGTTCTGATTAAAAACTATCAGTGTTGCTATCTTCGCCGGTAGACATATCTCACGCTGTGCGGGTTCACGTGTATATGTTTACTTGAAGCCTTAATGCTCTTGCTCGGTTTTGATTTTAGTGTTAATAAATCCTAAAACTTCAGTTTATTTTATCTGTCAATGCGCCGCGATGCTATCGGTTTGTCTTATTATGTTATTCTCCACATCAGAAGTGCGAACCCTCGAAAATCCACTTTCTGACAATAACGAGTCGGTTCCTCTGTGGGTGAGGCGTTACTCTAGGGTAAGCACCGTGACACACGAGAGAACGACGGGGATATGAACATGTACCTGATATGTTCTTTACATAATTCAGAACCACACAAATGGAGATTTGTTCCGGGTGTGGTATATTTATCATTTAGACAATAAAGAGAGGATATGTTCTATTCATAAATTAGAACGGCAGAGAGAGCAAGATATGTACCGGATTTATTTTATATATCATATATCGTTGAGAAGATTATGACCTAAAATTATACCAAAAATAAATGTAATTTATGTCCTTCGTGGTTTCATTGAGTTATATACAAACATTTGTAATCATGTTAACACAGCATATTTACAAAAGCACTAAGCAGAGAATATGGAACACATTGTACAATATGGTGTAATTCCATAGCATGTTGTTGGTATGAGTTATGTTCCTGTCTATAGATAGATCATTGATCGACGGTTCCAGGAGCTTATGCCTTTTGACACAGCTGATATGAAGTCAGCCCAGCTGTCGTGGCTCATTTACATGACGACAAGGCTGATAACGCCTCGCAATATCCCAACATTCACCACGCTGTCTGTGCAGTTGTCAATGCATTATGTATTGTTCTAGGTTTAGAGTGTCAAGTAGATGCTCATAAAGGGTTTTCATGCATGACATAAGGCTTGACGGCACAGCACTATTATGCCATCGCACTGATCATCCCACATTAAAAGCTGTCCTGGTGTTATTAGTAGAGTTTCTACCTGCCTAACTATTGCACACACTGGAATAGATGGCATACTGTGTAAGGTACACATATTCCAGTTTATGAATTACAAGTATACTGCGGATTTTATTAAAATGGTTTAATTCAGGGTTATTTTTCATGCATGTGTACCAATGAGCAGTACAATGTTATGTTATCTTGATATGTACGGTTTTATTCCACATATCTTTGGATGGAAAATGGTCAGTTTTTTGTAACTCATCTTCTTTGCTACATTTTGCAGAACACAGAACCTCAGTTGTCACAGTCCACAATCCTAGTGTCTGAATAGTTGCAAGTGTCAATCAATCTTTATTCATGGTACTTATGAGGCCAAAGGCCTATAGTACAATGTGTGGGGCGTGTTACAAATTCATACATTTTCTTAGTTTCATGGCATGATAAATGAACATTGATAGATTTCTAATAGTTTCTGTACAATCACAAGTCATTAATTTACAAAATTTGTTACCGTTTGGGTTGCGGTAGAAATAGTTATTTAGATATTTTGCTCTTAAATCTTCATACACTGGACATACACATAAAAAGTGATATTCATCTTCAGTACAATCAGTTTTACAAATCCTACAAAGTCTGTGTTCTCTTGCAATACCTTCATATCTGCCTGTTGCAAGTGTCGGAGATCTTACATGAAACATTTGTTCACTACGTACAAAGTAACGCTGAAGGTTTTCAAAGCCACAGTTCAGACGCCTAGAAGACTTACGCCACACGATCACACAGCAGCCTGGGTCCAGCCCACCTGATTTTAACCCAATATTTCTCAGGGAGTTCACATTCTGTCTCCCCTTGACACACGCTATAGCGGTCTGGCAGGATTCCAAATGAGTACTGATAACGGAACCTACAGCTGCCCATATACCTTGTTACTTGGTCTAAAAGAACGTGATTCATTAACATTCAAACACTAAGACACAGTTTTTGCTTGCATGATATGTCAATCTTAGAGCTCATGTGGGGAAAGGTCAGGACTCCTGCCTTGCCATTGCATTCTTGTTATCTTTGGCTGCTAAAGGTAGTCAGTTACTATACGTGCACAGTGGGTGTGTCACTCGTGAGTGACAAAACGGACCAGTATAGTTCGAAAACGCCATAACCTTTGGCGCAAGTGTGTTGTAACTGTGGTACTGCCGAGTGACCCATCAATGGACAATATGCAGTCCCTTTTTTTCTGGCAGTCATATAGCATTCAGGGTATCCACTCCTATGTTTGTAAATGCAGAAAAGGAAAACACTCGAACGGACTGTTGGCCTCCATGAATATGAATGAGACCCATTACATTCCATGGATGAAGGATATTGCTAATGGTTGCGCATAATTATTATGACAGCTGCAAAAAAATCGAAACTTCAGAAGAACACAAATGAGAATTATATGTAGGGGTTTTTACCGCGACTGTAAAGATTTTTTGACTTTCGAACACCTGGTGTCATCACTGATTTTCAGTGGTCCATTCAATTTTGTCAAAGCTGTTTTCCCTTTGCGCCAAAAGGAATCTGTTTCAGAGGATTTTTTCTCTTGCATTGACAATTTACATTTGACATTAAAGATATCACCTTACTGCCACGAATCCTGTACAATGCATTTTATCAACTTTCCAACTAATTTTTTCACGATGAAAATGCGTAAACTAAAAAACAACAAAAGGGTCTGGCCTGACAGTGTTCTTGTCATACTAAGTGTATGAACCAGAAAGAGTACAGAGAAAAGTAATTTTAACATGACACTGTAGAGGCATGCTCCTGCAGAAGTCAGACTGTTGTTGATTCAAAAGGTCATATCTATTTCATCATTCATTTGCCTGCATAAACGAAAATGCTTCAGGCCTAAAATTTACTTACCCACTTTCTATGCATGTATATGATTTGTATATGGTTTTTAATGTTACATGTTTTATTCTACATTGAATTATTTTCTGAAATAACTCAGTGACATCTTCAACTCAGCATACATTCATTGTCAAGGTGAGTACATGTAGAGTTTTAAATTGTTTCGTCAGCTTGTGATACACAATGATGGTATTATCATTATATTCGACGGAAAGTAGATGAAACGGTCGTTCAATATTGCCCTGAGCTTAGACACACTCGTGCAATCTGTTTCTATTCTCTTTTCCAATCTAGCTGCTGCCCTTATGGGGATGACCACAATCTGGTCAGTGTGAGTCAGTGATTATTGTTTACGCTCATGTTTAGCCGTATGCCAGCCATATCTCAGCATGCGACACCAGAAATGGACGCTGTGAGGAATCGAACCCCATCCTTCAGTGTGATGAGCGAACACTGCAACCGTCATACCAGTCAACCAATGAGTTGACTAACACACACACACACACACACACACACACACACACACACACACACACACACACACACACACACAACCCAATCACCTTTTACGTCCAATGGAATTTGTTCCGGCTGATAATTGCGATATTCTTATTCTGTGGCGTTTAATATTTACATATCGTGATCACCTGCTGAGCCTCTGCGTTACTGGGGTGATCTCAGAATCATTGAGACAAAACTAATCTCTTCCATAAATCTCTTAAATGCTTGCATAATAATGATAGTTTGATCTTAGGTTTTACACACTCACAAAATGGTTCAGTGGATATGCATGATAAAAAGTATCTGTTGTGGGCTTGGTGAAAACATTTTAATTCTTGAAGCGCAAAAGTTCTTTTATTCCTATATTTCTATAACATATACACTCAGTCAACCGGGTGTGACAACATGATCCAATTAATCGCCTCGAACAACATGCATATTTTGCAGGGACTTGTGAAAATTCATTAATTACAGGTCAAAGTAATATGACATTGATATGTTTTACTTCAGGATTGGTTGCAAGGGATTTTGTGAAACACTGCATTGGTTCTTTGTTCAGCATACATATTATTTGCATTCACTTCCACTAATTAACCCACCTGAACTAGAAATATAGAAGAACAATGAGACCGCCTCATCGCTTTCATATTTAGATCTGTGCATAAAGATTCAGAGTGAGAAACTATTCAACAAGACTGTATGAAATGAGTGATGACTTCAAATTTCCAATAGTCAACATTCTCTTTACTCCTTCAGCTTCACAACTTGTGTGGTACAATCGAGCAGTATCGTACAATTCTTTCTCAGAGCTTGTTTAATTAATGTTACCTTAGTATAGCTTTCAAAGGGTTTATAGTAGATATGTTGAGGACATTTCCAAATTTGACGCATCAGTAAAAAAATCATGTCTGATGCATTTCCCTATTTTGACTTATGTTCCCATGTTTTTTTCAGGTGAACACTTGACTTGCATGTGTTTGTGACAGTTACCACAGGTTGGGCAGGATATGCTCAACTTTTCGCGAAAACCTGTGATAGTGATGCATAAACACATGCTCAAGCTGTGGTCGGAATCGTTGCAAAGGCTATGCTTTTTGAGATTTCTTATGAATATGGAAAAGGTTTTGTCGCTTTCATATTCAGAATTATTCCCTCGCAATGGTTCACGAAAGGCCTGCTCAACAGCAAACGAATGGAAGAGACGTTTCAGGTATGTTACATACTATAGAAAATACATGCAGAGATCAATATAAAGTAACACATTTGCATTGAATCACTGCCTCATTTTACAAATCTAGTTATTGGTTATCACATCTATTATACAGCGATTATTGTTCCAAATTTGCTATCAGTTTCAGATGTTTCCACAACGCTGTCTCTTGGGGGTATTCGTCCACATGTATAATGAAGTTCTCTTCAACCATGTTTAACAGACACTGAGGAAGGTCCTCTGCTTGGATGTCCCCCACCAGTAGGATCAATATCCGGTTAGGAATGAGGGCATGCATGGAGTATATTGCTGCATTGATAGTGAAATGTGACCAGGCAGAGGGGTCTTCAAGGAAATCATGTGATACAACAAGAACGGTCTTCCAACTTTTGTTAATACCTTCTATAACTCCGTCAGCAATGTCATGACCCGGAAGTACTTCACGATCTTTTAAGAAGAGACGCACGGGGTGATTACATAGCTCTAATGCAGGCCGAAGTTTCCGATAAACAAAAGGAATGTCCACTTCACAATACCCGATGTAGAGTGTGAAGGAAAAGTCTTTTCCAGTTAGATACTGGACGCCAAACCCAAGTGTTCCCATGAGTATGTTCTTGAATCTAGTGGGGTTCTTGGAGATAAGGTATATAGTTACAATAGACGTCAGGAAGACAGTCAAACATGGGACTGTGAGAGTGAACATCCATATACCAGTACAGTGACGGTGGATACTGATGTAATTCCTGACAACCTCAACAGTTCTTGTCATTTGTCCATTGTCCTGAATACAAGGGAAATTCCTATCAGACTCATAGATTACTGGTGAGTCTATCAACCACAGGATAAAGTCCAGATTTTCACAGCCACAAGAAAATATGTTGCCTCTAACAATGACTTTCAGACGGTTTCTTTCAGCCGAAGAATCCAAGTCAGATTGTGTATACTTATCCAAATGTCCTATCATATTATATGACATGTTCAGAAGCGTGAGACGTGGAAAAGTGGTTGACACAATGGGAATGGTATGAAATTTGTTTTGCGAAAGATTAAGATGAATTATTCTATTTTGATCTAGGATGAATGGGAATAATTGTAGGCCATTCAACGAAAGATCCAAATATTCCACTAATTTAAGAGCACCAAATATATTTCGAGCTCTTAGCACATCGTTGGCAAATTGTAAGCCACAATTTTTCAAAGATAATATTCTGGCGTTTGAAAATGACTTAAAAAATTCTTCAGTAACATTGCCAAGTTTGTTTCCAGATAAGTCAACGTGACTCACATTTTCTAACCCTTTTATACGAACAAGAGTATGTTGTTGGTTGTATCCAAAAAGCACTGTGTCAAGATGTTCGGTGTTTGTAAATGTGATTTCATCATATGTTACTGACAACATGAATGTATTTGTTGCATTGTAATATTGAAGTTTTGGAGCAAGCATCAGCGTGAGGTTCCCCTTTTTTCTCCCTTCTACTTCTTCCCATATGCTCTCAACTCTATCATATGTATGATGTTGATGACTTAAGTCAAGGTGTCTCAGTCTTGAGAACGCTGCAAAAAATAACACAAACAATGCATCTCCAATCAGGCGGTTTGTTGAAAAATCGACCACTTCCAAACATTCACGAATGGGGGATTTGTATAAAGAACCTGTTTCAATTAAACATATCCGGTTCCCTTTCAAGGACAACTCTGAAACACATATCTGAGTCAAAAAGCGTGTGCTGTATTCTGTAAGGATACGATCATCCACATCTTCCTTGAAGTGAGCACGGGCTATATATGTGTTGTTCAACCATATTCTTGTCATGTTCCTTCCAACGAGAGGATAAAGAAGATGTAAAACATTTTGGATACCAATTTCATTGTTAGTTAGTTCCAGATGTTTTAGGAAGGACAAAGGCTCAAGAACACCGGTCTCACAAAATGTTAAATGATGACAATGATTAAGAAGTAGTACCTCAAGTTTTGTTTCATTTAAACGTCGAAATGTTTCATTTGTTATTTTTTCTAAAGAACAATGGCCACCATCCATCTTGAGAACTTTGAGATTTGTCAGTTTTGAGAATCCAGACCCAAAGACAGCATCTGGAACGGGGTCAATGTACAGGCTGTGGAGCTTGGTGAGGGGAGCTAACACCAAATCTGGATATGCTTTCATCTTGTTTTTCTCAAGATTGAGTGTGTGCAGATTTCCAAGGTCACGGAAAAGTCCTTCGGGTAAGGAGTTGTTGTGTGAGAGTGTGTTACTTGCGAGAAGGAGAGTGGTTAGACTGTATACGCCAAAGAAGGCATCACGCTCCATAGTGATAAGTGAGTTATTGTTCAGGTTTATGTACTTAAGACAGCTAAAGTTTTGAAATGTCATATTTCTAACAACTGTAATCTGATTCTCACTGATGTCAAGAGAGGTAGTGTTCCGTGGAAGGTCGTCAGGAACATGCAGGAGTTGTCTCCCTCTACAGTCAACAAACAGCCCGCCATATTGGTCATGGAAAGTACAGACGTGAGTATTGACCTTTGAGATCCTTACTGCAACCATTATGAGAATTCCGATAACCGCTGCCATAATGACTGGAAAAGAAGAAAAGAAGATTCAATGACATATCATCAACGGTTATAATGAAAGCATCTAAGACTTCCATCCTTTGATAGTTATACAGGGATTGATGCACTCTGCTTTTAAGAAAATAGATTTTTTATAATCTGATAAATCAAAACAAAAAATCCCAATCCTAATAGTCAAACTTGAAAACATCACAAATTTGTCTGAAAATTATAATTTGCAGACAAATATACAGTGTATCTACTCCAATTATTGACATTGTCCCTTAGCAAACATGTTTGTCGCTTTCATCCGTTTTTTATAATGGCAATATCATATCCTTGGGTGCTCGCATGTGCACAGTAAAGTCAGACTGTTGCTCTCTGGGTACATTCATAGTAATTCTACGTTTTGATGTGAGAGGTCTTATGATATCAGTGAAATTATCTTTAACCATTGTCATTGCAACAAACATTCCTCTCCTGGAAAAAGGATATTTTGTTTTAGTAACATCGTCAACAATAGCTAAGGTTGAGTGCAGCAGATGCCCTAAAGAAACAGCGTATTACTTGATATTCATTCAAAAAAGTCATACCAAAAAATGTTAAAAGATGGTATTCGTTGTGTCCCTGCCTGGCGCTCGGCATTGAAGGGCTCTCGCACACGCACGCACGCACGCACGCACAGTTTAAAAAGAGATATCCTCTTTCCTACTGAAACCTCTTTTAAATATTATACCTTTTCACCCAAAAACCGTGTGTATGAATAAATATCGATCCATAAAAGTATTACCGCATTAATTATGTGAGGTACCGGCGTGCCGAATAGGGGAAGTACGTACGTTTCATATTGGATGTTTTTGGCGACGATTTTGACGTCCTTAAAACTGACGGGTTCGATGATGAGATGTGGTGAGGTGAGGTGGAATGGGGTTTAACGTCGCGTCCAAGATTATTGCTCTTATATAGCGACGTGCATGCACATGCATATGTGTGTGTGTGTGGCTACTAGTCCGGACTGATGCCGATTTATAGTGCTAGCAAACTGAGATACCATGCCGCAGTTAAACAAGAATACGCCACTCAGACACGGTATACGGACTCCGAGCCGAGTCCTTGTTTTAGCCCCCCAATGCCGAGCACCAGACAGCGTAACAACAAGTACCATCTTTTAACGTCTTTTGGTATGACGCGTCCGGGGATTGTACCCCAGACCTTACGCTCTCCGCTCTACCACTAGACCACGGAGGTGTTCGATGATGAGATGACAACACTTAAGAAAGGAATATCTTTTGCACACAAATGATAACGTTTATTTTACTCTTAAGTAAAACCAACGTTATTCGTGACAACATATTGTTTAAAAAAACTTTATCGATAGTCATCGCCATCTCCGTCAACAAACAACATTAAGCAGGAGGAGATTTGAAAGTTCATCAGATAACACGGCTCCTGTCCAAAGGACACAAGTAACTCACAAATGATGTAGGAATATCAGGAAAGGACTCATCTCGTTTCTCGTAGATGCAAGATCAGAAGGAATGAAAGCGTATTTATCATACGGTAAACTTGTTATTTCCGACAAAGCTTATGTTTTAGCTGTTTTAAGGATGGAAACCGGCGTAGTGTTCCGGGGTATCCTCCCACAGGTGAGGGGGATCACACGGCGGAGCGGGACACCCGGTCAACGTCGCCACGTGACGGGCAGTGTGACAGCTTGGACTCGGCAGTGACCAACATGACCTTAAAGGGAAGTTAGATTCTAATTTAAGCTTATTATTAATCTGTTCTTTGAACATTAACGGACTGCTCGCAATATAATATTTTCCTTCTTGCTGAAACAATGCAACAAGATATTGACAAAATAAAATATTTATTTAAAGATTATACATGTTATGCTTTTCCAGCAAAACGGGAATGTTCTTTGGTCGTTGTTCGGGGGGAATCGCTCTGTATGTGCGCAAGACCTATGTCCAGTACATGACAAGAATCCACATTAACTGGGATAACTGTGTGTTTGTGAGGCTTGAGTCTGATGTGAAACCTGACAGTTTGGGTGGACTGTATGTGCTTCCGGAAGGGTCCCCGCTATACCGCGATCTGGCGGGAGACGACGGAATTGATCAACTGGAGACTGCGATAGCTTGTATGGCACAGACATTGACATGGTTCTATATGGGTCCTTAGTTCACGAACTGCATCCCAGGATGATTTCATTTTAGAGAATGAAAGTGATGTTGAATTGCTGGATCTAGGAGAGATGTATGAAACAGATATGTTCTGTGAAGGACGGAAATCACAAGATGAGAAAATAAATAAGTTTGGTTTGTCATTATTAAATATATGTAAACAGTGGGAAATCATATTGTGAATGGAAAGAAACCGGGTGTCTTGGAAGGCTGTTTTACGTACATAAGCCCATATGGGACTAGTTTGAAAGACTATTTTCTTGTATCTGGAAACAATTGTAATGCTATCAAAGATTTATATGTACACAGCAGAACGCAGTCTGACAACGTGCCCGTTTCCTGTCAATTGTTACATTCTATTAGTCAGCCGCCGTCACCGAGTGACCAGGAAACATTAATTACAATGAAAGTTCTCAGAAATGTGTGGTCTGAGGATGATATAAGTTCAATATAGACAATATCTCTTCTCCCGCAGCAAAAGCAATCATTAACAGCTTTCTTGATTTTCTCGTAAATGTAAACGAGGCTGCCGACAAACTGTCTACTATATTTCAGATCATTGGTGCGCACATAAATATTCATCGATTACATATTCTTCGAACATAAAAAAAAAAGGAAAACAAACCTGGAAGTTATTTAGAGGCCAAACGAGATTTTAAAAAGAAATGTGAGGAAAAGGAGACTACTAACAATAACGAAACGACAGATCGCATGAACTCGGCAGTTGGTGATAGAAATCTTTTCCAAGAGATATTTGTCAATCAATAATAAAGCATCATCTAATGCCTTGTCACTTAAAGCATTCTCATTTACTTTTTTATTCCATTAATGTCAGTGCATGGGTTTTTTTCTGTTAAAGCGAGAGTGACAATTAAATCAATAAAACGGGAATTTCAATTAACTTTGTATGTATGTATGTTTATATATATATTATATAACGAGCTAAAAGGATGTAGAACATGCGAATGGGCACCTATCGCAACCTTGATAAAGCAGTGAGAATGGATGTCATTGGAGCCCGACATATTTGGTTTCAATTTTATGAATAAATGCTTCATTCTTAATCTAAATTTTCATCAGAAATCTGAATCAAATTCCACTGCAACAGCACATCCTACCAAAATATCAGCTATCTGGATATATCAATTTCTGAGAATTCTAAATGATTTCAATATAATTATGTTGGGTTTTCATATTTTAAACATATGATCCATTTCATATTATCGTCCAACACGACTTGATACAGTTTCCGATCCCCTGGTCTTGTAGTTTGTCAGAAGAAGATAATTAAATATATTAAAGTTTGAGTTTATATCATTTTTGATTTTCTTTCAATGTTGTTATTTTATTGGCATGTATATATCTGATGCGAAACATACATCAATGTTTCTAAATTTCTATACTTGCGGTTTCTTAGCAAAGATACTTTAAAACATAATTTGACTTTGTTTTCATTTATAAACAAAACACTTAAAATATTCACACTTAGTTTTAGTTTTTACGAAAAAACTCTTCGCTCTCCATGTCTTAAAAACTGACCGCTGTACATTTCTGTCAGATACAGTTATATTGGGAATCAAGTGGTCACAGCTGTCACCAAGCAGATCATGTGCCACCGTACCCTTGTGTCGTGGGTCTCTGCTCATAATTCAATCACTGGTTTGTTTACTTGGTTCCATTATCCTTTTACTGTAAAGCGACGACAAAGAACAGTAACATGGTTTTAGTATTGTCACATATTGTATGTAAAATTTAACTTGTGTTGGTTGTGACATCGTTCCCGGGCGGCGTTCAGCAACTAACCAAAGAAGACCTATTCTACCCCGGAATCTTCACGGGTCACTAACAAACAGAACTGACTAAACTTTGCTCACTGGACTTCGATAAGGTGTTAATTTGGTGTTGATGCGACACATCAATAGGTCGTTTCAGCATTTGCTGTTTGTTCTTGTTTAACGTCGCAATGAGAAATATTCCAGCTGTCTGAAGGCCGTATGTAAATAATCGGGTCTCGATGAGACAATCCAGCGATTTAAATATATCAAACTTTTGTGTACAATGTGTTTACTAGTCTGGACTAGCATATACTTTCGTTCCAGGGGTATTTTGACCTTGAGTCGACATTTGCAGCATAACAGTTTCACAAAATCAAAAATGCGGACATGGGCAATAAAAATAAAAGTAAGCGCAAAAAAAGGCTTTAGCACATGGTTGCCATGGAAACCAAACTTCCATTCGAAATGGTCCTACACCTTGTGACAAGAAAGTAACGGACCAGGTTCAGGCGACCCTAACTGACCACGGACCTCGAGGCAGCGTTTTGGACAAATTGACAAGTACGTCAATTACCCCTTCGCTTGTCAAAGCAAAAACAGACATTGCTTAGGCCATTGAGGCAAGAGCTGGGGATTTACATCCACCTTAACGCGGGGTCTATTTCTGGGGGAAATAAGGTACGTGACCCTGTGACCCCCAGAAACCCGACTTTGACCTTTGCAGTGGAAAGACAGTTGACCATGCTTACACATATCTTCTCTGATATTGCTTGACAGAAATGTTACATGCAGATTCCTTCTCATGAAAAACGTTTTTCTTTTAAATATTTTCAAAAAATCAAACCTAGACTATAATAAACTGTTGTCACTCATAAACATGTATCTCACCCATGAACATATCTAGACTATAACAAACTGTGGTCACTCATATGCATCTATCTCACCCAAGAACATATCGAGACTGTTATAAACTGTGATCACTCATATACATGTTTCTCATCCATGAACATACCTAGACTATAATAAACTGTGGTCACTCATATGCATCTATCTCACCCAAGAAAATATCGAGACTGTTATAAACTGTGATCACTAAAATACATGTTTCTCATCCATGAACATACCTAGACTTAATAAACTGTGGCCACTCATATGCATCTATCTCACCCATGAACATATCTAGACTATAATAAACTGGGGTCACTCATATACATGTATCTCACCCATGAACATATCGAGACTGTTATAAACTGTGATCACTCTTTACATCTATCTCGCCCATGAACATATCTAGACTGTAATAATCTGTTGTCACTCATAAACATGTGTCTCATCAATGAACATACCTAGACTATAATAAACTGTTGTCACTCATATTCATGTATCTCATCCATGAACATACCTAGACTATAATAAACTGTGGTCACTCATATGCATCTATCTCACCCATGAACATATCTAGACTGTAATAAACTGTGATCACTCATATACATGTATCTCACCCATGAACATATCTAGACTGTAATAAACTGTTGTCACTCATATACATGTTTCTCATCCATGAACATACCTAGACTATAATAAACTGTGGTCACTCATATGCATCTATCTCACCCAAGAACATATCGAGACTGTAATAAACTGTTGTCACTCATAAACATGTGTCTCATCCATGAACATACCTAGACTTAATAAACTGTGGCCACTCATATGTATGTATGTAACCATGAACCTATCAAGACTATAATCAACTGTCATCATTCATTTTCATCTATCTCACCCAAATACATATCTAGGCTATAATGAACTGTACCTATATGCATGTATGCAACCGCTGAATAGATGTATGGAAAAGACCAATCTGAAGCCAGTAAAAGTAATCACAAAGGTAATAACAGTGTTGAGGGAAAAATCAGATATGGACTCACATTATCCACTTCTGCACTTGCCAAATGGTTTATACCCAAACTGTACCAGTGTGTTCTACATGGCATGAGTGTACTGTGTCCTTCAAACTGTGTCGCAGTGTACTCCGCAAACATGACTGAAACCAAAAGCTTCCTCAGTATTAACTTCCGTGATTAGGTTTAAATATCAAAATCTTAAAATGCGTGTTTCACCTTCCTTTTCAAAATCGAGGAACAAATAAGATTAACTGTACAAATAGTTGTTCAACAGATAAAACATACATGAGGAAATGCACAACTGTTGTTTGAACAGATGCATGTTCCGACATACAATTGGTGTAGTTAATGATCACTTGTTTACATTCCATGTTCATAACTGACTGGATACAAATATGATTGTTACAACATGCTTTGTTTGTTATAACGCCTCACTATTCAAGTAATACGCCAGCTGTGAGGTGGTGGCCTGTAAATAACCGAGTCTGTGACAATCAAACCATTGATTTATCTGCGCAACGATCTACGCCGTCCGGGTGCGACAATACGCAATCAACCAATACGCTGAGTCTGACCACCCGACCCATTCAGTCGCCTCCTACGACCAGCATAGGTTGCCGGGGATCAATTCTAAATCGAACTCACCATGGGTTCCCAAATTATGTCACCTCTTACGACGAGCAATGGGGTGCTGGGGACACATTGTTCCCCGTGTTCCCCACTTTTATTCGACTAATCCTGATCATCACCTTTACTTGATTGACCAATCCATAATGACTTCCATCACTTAATCGCCACCGGTCTGAACTGAACTGAACCTTTATTTACACTCAGGCCGCTCTCAGCGGCATCAGAGGTACAAAATATTTCAACATCATAATACATATACATATAAATATAGAACAGATTTTTAGAAAACTTTGCCGAGCATGCATGCATGTTATACAGATTTACTAGGGTAGCACCATATGTGCAATTCAATAAGAGGGAGAGTTACTTGATAGGTTTAAACAATGACGTGATGATTTTACAGAATTTGGGACAGTTTTCTCAATGTTCCTAATCGTGAATTATTGAAAAGTACATTCATTTATGCATATTGGGTTTGATGTAGTAGAATCTGTGTAAAAATGTTTTCTTTCGTTTTCTAAAGATGGACAAATAAATAAATAATGGAATTCATCACCTATGTCAGATAATTTACAAAGAGGACATTTCCTTTCTGTTAAAGGTATATTTCTCTCCCAGTTTCATTAGGTAGGTTATGGTTACAAGTTCCAAACTTAAGTAAGACTCACCAAAACGTTTTCCTGCAGTACGTTTAAATAATATTTAAAGTTTAGGCAATCACTTTTTATGCTACTATACATTGTGCCTTTTCAAGACTCAAGCTGTGCTCAGTGACAACCTAAGGAATCCTCTCCGGGACATTTTTTACTTAAAATATTGACACCGATCTGAGCGCAATTAGAAACAATTTAACCGAGGTCGTAATGTAATAGGCAATCCTTTTGAGGACAGGGGGCACGAAATAAATACCTGATTCTCATAAAAAATTACAAATACACATGTTATATCCCGAAAGAGGCATGAAAAGCCAATTTCTATGTAAAGATACCAAGCAAGCACTAGTCAGAATTGGTTTGGAAGTCTTTAGTTTATATCATTGTAATGCTACGAAATAGTATGAACAGCTGAACCATCAGTACATATAGTAAACTACCGTTATAACGAATTCAAAGGGGCCACTAATTTTAGTTCGTTATAACCGTAGTTCGTTATAAGCATATATACAGCATAACAAAAGCAAATAGTCGGGACAAAAAAGTAAGTTCGTTACATCCGTCAGTTCGTTATAAGCGTGTTCGTTATAAACCTGGTTTACTGTATATATATATATATATATATCTTGAAAACAGGAAGAAAAGCGACTCGCCCGGCTAGCTCCAGCCGGAAAAATATTGTTTTGTGCACGTGACTATCACATGATACACAAACGTGGCGATGCAATGCAGCCTTATAACTATATACTGTTTCCGTGTGCGATTGTCTTCAAATCAAAGTACGTTGCAAGTTTCGTTTAAGCTCTGAATAACTGGTCTTAAAAATATCCGTTATGTTATACGAACTATATGCGTCTGGATCGGTTCTTACTCGTTTCACAGTGAATTCCTGTCACTACTCCAGTACTGATACTGTTCTAGGCATTATGTGGTTAGAGAAGAACAACGCGTGACAGTTACTGCCTTATTACACATCAGTAATTTTGCAGATATTGTCACGGGAACAACACGTGGGATACAAAGGGATCTGACACCTCTTGGAGATAAACTGTTGCCAAAGCCTCGACCTACTGAATCGAATCAGAAACCAATTTAGTTTCGTTTACTCACCTCTTCAGAAATAGGAACAATAGGCAACTGTAGCTTAGGTTTTTGCTGTGTGTCTCGTGGTGAAATGTACGAAACCCTTCCTGGGTGGTGTGTTTATAAGTTATGGCATCGATTGACGATAACTTTGTTTGCTTGTCAGAAAGCTTTGTATGTAAGGAAAAGGATGAAATTAACACATTGATTTTGTTAACTTTGAATTCAACATCCTTTTTGAGAAGCCTTCTTCGTGGTCAGGGGGTACGGGTGGCCAAGCGGACAAATGTGCTGCAATTGTCTATGATGCCTTTGCTCATGAGTAACGCCTAAAGCCTGCGTCACTTCGATCTTTCTCCTCATAATATATTCAAAGCGGCGCTAAAGTCAACTAACTCACTAACTCATCGTTTTAATTCGTCTTTGCAGAGATTTGGTACAAAGTAAAATGAAACGTCATTTCTGAACGCCAAATGCTCAATAATGTATGCACTAAACATTATCGTGGGAGTTCCGGGTTAGAACTGGTCCCAAGTAACTCCTACTGGATTTTGCGCCCATCGTAAACCGTGCCGTGGAATATCCATGATATGACTGGTTTGTCGGTTCCAGAATCGAATGTTTACAGGCCGCCGTTCTAGAGATGGAATAGACATTTTGTGGCGCCAAACAACATTCAGTTAATGGCGCACTACACTGGACGAACATCTGATCCATTGGTGATTTAGGCAGGTGTTCCATAAGGGAGAGGCAGTTATCGAAGTATTTCCTTGTTCCTATTAATATGAGAGGTGGGTTAGCCTAGTGGTTAAAGTGTTCGCTCTTCATGGCGAAGACATGGGTACGAATCTCCACATGGGTACAATGTGTGAAGTCCGTTTATCATATTACTGGAATATTGTTAAAAGCGGCATAAAATCAAACTAACTCACTCCTATTAATAATGCATGGATAGTAACCGATGAAAGGGATATTTGGAATGTTAATACAGGGGATATAGCATTTTTGTTTGTTTGTTTGTTGTTTAACGCCGCACTCAGCAATAGTCCAACTATATGACGGCGGTCTGGACCAGATAATCCAGTGATTGACACTATGAGCATCGATCTACGCAATTAGGATACGATGACATGCATCAACCAAGTCAGCGAGCCTGACCACCCGATCCCGTTAGTCGCCTCTCACGACAAGCACAGTCGCCTTTTATGGAAAGTATGGGTTGTTGAAGACCTATTCTACCCCGGATCTTCACGGGTCGGATATCGCATGTGCATGTATTGATAGATGTGTGGGTGCCTTCACGCACGGAATCCTCACCCGGGACCTAATATATGGTATTTGTACTGGCGTTGATGTCACTAACTAGACTACCTGGTCACATTACCTTTTAGAAAAGTATCTAACAGACCTAGTAAACAAGTGAGTGAGTGACAGAGTGAGTTGGGTTTTAACGCCGCTTTTAACAGTATTCCAGTTATATCACGGCGTGTCAGCTTTATGTGGGAGGAAAGCCCGAATTGATGCAGGTCTCAGACGTTTACCACCTCGGTGAAACCCACGAGCACGGGTATGGTGCTGACCTAGAAACATAATCGGGGCGAACAGGGGTTCGAACCCACAATCATAGGTTTCTGGCGTGCCCAAGGGACGCAACTCTGCACAGCGAATCGCAGCGCTTTAGACGACTTGGCCACCCGTGCCGCCCAGTAAACATGAATAACCTGGTCCTAGCAGTGATCTTTAATGACCTCAACATGCATGCATATATAAATAGCAACACGTTGTCCTGCCTTACCGATTGGTTAATGTCACTGCAAAGGTCACAAATTCGGTGAAGTTAAGTGACGCTGACGGCGGACAGTAGTTGGATAGGTGGCCGTTTTCAGCAAACTTGTCTCCTTAAGAGTGTCTTGTGCTTCGTTCCTCCACGCTGAATCACAGGTCTCCCTAGGCAAGTCACTTGGGTTATAGTGAGTGAGTATGGTTTTACGCCGCTTTTAGCAATATTCCAGCAATATCACGGCGGGGGACACCAGAAATGGGCTTCACACATTGTACCCATGTCGGGAATCGAACCCGGGTTTTCGGCGTGATGAGCGAACGCTTTAACCACTAGGCTACCCGACCGCCCCACTTGGGTTATAAAAAAACAAATACACACGACTATCATACGTAAAATGACCCTGGCACTTGCATGTTAACTAGTGATCACCAACTGACTCCTCCTTCCTGTAAACGCTGGTACCAACAATGGTCCGTCCATTGTCAGGTGGGGCGGTCGGGTAGCCTAGTGGTAAAAGCGTTCGCTCGTCACGCCGAACACCCGGGTTCGATGCCCGACGTGGGTATAATGTGTGAAGCCTATTTATGGTGTCCCCTGCCGTGATATTCCTGGAATATTGCTAAAAGCGGCGTAAAACCACACTCACTCACCCATTGTCAGGTAGATCCCCCGATATGTCCTCAATAGTCACTGAGTTTACGCCACCAATTGCAATGACACCGACAATGAGCATCACACATCGTGTAGGAAGGAAGGCCATAGAAGAGCCCCAGATTCAACATCAATACTATTTTGTACTAATGTAGGAATAATCATAGAAGCTCATATTTTCACATTTTATCCATTCTCATTTTTCATGGTACCCAATATCTCTGCTGGTTTAGAAAAGATGAACAACATGTGACGAAGGTCTTGGGCATTTACCTTCTCAATATAAGAATTTGGCTTCAAAGTATCAAAGACCCGTGAAGATCCGGGGTAGAATAG